AAACTATAGTCCGCCCCTCCAATGATCTGAAGAACAGTAAATTGGCCCCCTGTTTTAAAAGTTTGAGGACCCCTGATATTTCAAAAGTTATTTTTAATAAGAACACAGTAAAAAGCATATTGCAGTATGATGGTGTGGGAACATAATGTGGGAGTGGTATAGTAAAAACACGGATGATTGGAGTCTAGAAAATGCCTAAAGGGCAATCACACTGTCCTCTATTCTATTCCCTAGCACTTTTTCTCCAACAAGAACAGCTAGGCTTAGAAAGGACTTCTCTTTAACGTCCATGGTAAGACCAGAGACTCAGGTCTGGTTTCTGGAGTAAATAACTTGATGGTCACTGTGGCTCTAGGCCAGCCCAGTCATCTTAACTTGGGCAATGGGGTCTAGCAGTGCTCACCAGAGATATAAATTGGAATTTGGGGCTGGGTGTGGTGGCTCACACCTGTAATCTCAGCATTTTAGGAGGCTGAGGAAGGAGGATTGCTTGAGCCCAGGAGTTCAAGGCTAGCCTGGGCAACATAGTGAAACCTCATCTCTACAAAAAACAAACAAACAAACAAACAAAAAAAAGCTGGGCTTGGTGGCATGTGCCTGTAATCCCAGCTACATGGGAAGCTGAGGTGGAAAGATCACCTGAGCCCAAAAGGTTGAGGCTGCTGTGGGCCATGATCATGCCACTGTACTTCAATCTGGGTGACAGAGTGAGGCCTTTACTCAAAAAAGAAAAAAAATTGAATTTGGGGCAAAAGCCCAATTTAATAATACTGATTGAGTAGGGGGAAAAAGGTAGTAAAAGGCTACCTTAGTCCCTTAATACTGACATGTGAGCAGCCACGACTATGCAAATATTTGCATGTGAAGAAGCTGTGGTGGTTATAAATGAGAACAAGCCTGTGTCATATATTTCGTAGCTTGTTATGAGGATCACATGGCAGTAAAAAGTATAAAATAGGATACAGATGGGTAAGCTTATAATTACCCAATTACAGCATATATTTATATACACATGTATATATATGTGTGTGTGTGTGTGTGTATGTTATGTATCTAGCCTTTTACAAATATGCTGTGAAGGTCAAACATGCTCATACCTTTTGTGTTTTCATTGTATTCATTAATGATGTATTCCTTTAGATTGACATTTTCTTCCTATAAACAATAAAAGGCAATATAACAAAAAAATCAAACTTAATCTTGACTTTTAAACAGGGTTCCAGAGTATGCCTCTAGCTAATGACACAAACATTTGACAATTACTTCACATTGCTGGTTCTGGTAAAATGAGAAACCTTAGATGCTAACTGATTGCAAATGTCCTCCTAGCTTAAAACAGCATGATTTAGCCTGTAATTCCGGCTACTTGGAAGGCTGAGGCGGAAGGATCGCCGGAGCCCAGCAGGTCGAGGCTGCGGTGGCCGGGAGCGGCCACTGCACTCCAGTCTGGGCGACAGAGTGAGACTCCAACTCAAAAAAACAAACAAACAAACAAACAAAAACCAGTATGATTTAAAAAACTGTATGCGTCAAGAATTCTTCTCAAAGAAGACTTATGAACACTAATTGGTATATGACATCTCAATGTTTTAGTGTCAAATTAGTTTTTAATGATATCTATGTTAAAGAATCTTAGGAACCACCTTAACCTGAACTCATAATCATTCCCTATAAGCAGAATAGTTTTTCTCCTTTGAAAGGAAACAATAACTACTAGAACTTTTTTTTCTCACTAAGAGAAAAGCGTCTTGAAAAAAGAAGGAACCAAGGAAGAAAATGCCCTCCACATCACAATACCATTGTGTAAATGAAAAATACATGCACACAAAACAATACATGTTTACAAGTACACAAGAAGGTGAACGGAAATGGGGCTAAAAGGTAATAAATCTAAATAAGAAAGAAGAGTCTGACACAGACCAATGATAAGAGCGTTTCATCAACTAGAAAGTATGACTAACACAGTGTTTGGCATGAGCGGTAAAACAATGAACACAAAAACGAATCATTACAATGTCATTCGCTTTGGGTTTCAGAATTCTGCATCTCTGAAATGAATTTAGAGTAGTGTTAGAAAACGAATGATTTCAAACCTACCAACTATCTCCTAGCAAGGTTACTCTCAGGCAAAATTGCCAAGTGGAAGAGATTGTTTTTGGCATCCCTAGCTCCACTTTTAGGATACTTTTTGCCTCCTCAGTGACCCTTCTCCTATTCCTCCTATATATACTTTTATCTAGGCTACATCTTTGAAGAATTTATCAAAACCTCAAATTCTGCTGTGATCAACATTTATTCTTTCATACACATGTAAATATATTCATGCATATCCCATTTCTGCCACCAATGCCATAGCTCCTAACTTTGGATTTTCAGCAGTTCAAGGACTGGGTGCTGAACTTCTTGGTTAATTTCCCAACATTGTACTATCCTGGCTCATACTAGTCGACTTCCACTCATGGGGGAAACAGAACGTTACCAAGCAGTAGTGTGCTATACACAAAATTTGCCTGATTCATAAATTAGTCAAAGCCTTTCCTATGGCACATGAATGAGGTTATTCATACCAGTATTTCTATTCCCAAAGGAAGTTGGAATCTGCCCTTTGCAGGGACCAGGTGACCCATATGCTTTCTTTTAGGCAGGATCTCAGGATTTAAGCCATTTAAAGCACCTATCAACATACCTTTTCGATGGTTTTATGTGAGCTTTCACTGGTTCTTTCTGACTCGTCTGTCTCGTGGCTGTCATCTGCAGGAACATTTTCATTGTCTTCCATAGTTTTCTTCTCATTTTCCAGACTTTCAGCATTAATTTCCTCACACATGTTTTCTGATTCTTCTTCTTCAGTTTTTGAAGATTCACAATCCTGTGACAAAATTGAACATCACAGAAGAGTAAGATTTTCTTTTAAAAAAGTAGAGATTTGATATTGCTGTCAGAAATACTTTATGTCATCTCAAAGAACACATAGAATATTAATTCAAATATTATAGTCAAATAAGTAAAATACTACATAATCCATGCTGAATATCAAGTTACTATATTACCAAGGATTTTGTGCATGCTGCTATACTGCAATGACTAGGATTCCTAAAATTCTATTAGCACCTCTGGCAAGATTAAAAAAAAAAAAAATCTAATATACTTTTTTGGATGCCTTAAAAGAGTGCTTTTAAACAAGAAAAGTTAAAGAGCTTTCTGTCTACTGTAGCATAATAATACAACCATATCTATATAATATGTTCATTTTCCAAAACATAGGGATTTAGAATCACCTCAGAGGTACCATTCACTGAGAGTCAAGGAGACATAAGTATAATTATTTACATTCCAGGAAAAAAAAAAAGGAACATAGTTTAAATAGTTTTTTCTATTTAACTATTTAGGAGAGAAAAAACTAAACAGAGACAGAACTTGATCTATTTGGCTACTGGCCATTAATTCAAATTATAAAACAGTCTGTCTATGAATTTGATAGGTAGTAAATCATGTAATGCTTATTAAGTATAGGCAGAAAATAATTAGTTTAGCCTTTATTCTACACTGAGATTTTTTTTACTTCCATATTTTGGGTGGAATACTCTTGTTGATTGTTCTTAAGAAATTAGGTCCTTTATTGGATTTCCCCCCCAAAGCTTTACATTTACATATTTTAATAAAGTTATAAAAGCCTCTAAAAATAGGTAAGGCAGTAATCATTCACTTTCTCAAATAACATTTGTATGAAGTTCACCTTGGTAATACTTACTTCAGTTCATACACACCCTTTATATCTTTTATAACACTGTAACTAGCTTTTGGTGGTCAGCTGCCTAGTGGCTGCAAGGCTAAGGATAGAGCCTGATACCCAATAGAAGCTTTAGTAGGTGGATGGAAAACAATGCCTATAATAACTAACTCAGGTTTCTTCTGGTAAAAATATAAAATGGGAGATTTCAGGTCATGGAGAGGATATGTTTATATTGCACACCTTAGTAATAAACACAAGTGGCATCCTCAGGCCAACAGGATATGGCCTAATAGCATTCCCATTGAGGACAGTCAATACCTGAGTAAAGACTTGAGATTTAAAAAAGAGATTCAGAAGTTGCTCTGGGAGAACTTGACTTAGGTTAATCTAAGCTCATGAGGCAATGTATACAGGAGCAAAGCACAGAATAGGGAAACGTAGTACCATCAAAGGATAACTGATTAGGTTGGGTAGGGTTAGCCACGAGGCAGCTACCATTTGCCAATAACTTCCAAAACTTTCTTTCTTTCTGCACAATTTCCCCTCTAAGTAAGTGACTTATGTTTTGTATTATGGCTAGCCAGACGCACATTAAAGAAAGTTAATTATCAGAGATAATTTACTTTGAAAGGGCATGAGAAGCAAGTTTACTAGATTTATGACTGATGAATAGCTGTATTTGTAAATATATATAAACGAAAAGCTAACTAGAAGGAAAAGTGTTCCAGAAACAAAAGATTTCAGACTATGGCCCCCTGCCTCACAGAGGGAGAGTCAGGGAGCAGTGTTCCCAACATAGTCCTCCATTACTTGGAAAGCTTGGCTAACCCAGCACCTGAGCAAACTCCAATTGGGCTTGTTAATGAGGGCATTAATGCTACCATAGGATACCATGTTATTATTTTATAAACGTAATGAACAAAATACTCATCTATTATAATGAACTACATGTGCTCATTAACATTAAGAAAATCTATAAAAATAAAGAACTATGGAACTATATTATTTTCTAAATTTGAAAAAACGATTAGAAAATAACATTTTCACTAGAAATCACATAATCTTTTGTAGCACTTTGCACTTACTAAGCACATTTAAAAATATTCTAAACACATCTGGACAACTACTTGAAATCACATAAAGCACTTACCTTCAAACTGAAACAATTTGGGAGAAATTGGCAGAATACTGTCATTTTAGAAAAAGAAAGGGTAAAGTTTAAGTACGTTCTTAATACTAGACCACGTAAGACCTGTCTCTGGAATGGTCAAGTACATATCTGGTGTTAGAATCATAGTAAAGAAGTGAATGGGACTGACTTCTCACAAAAGAACCCTTGTTTCATTGGTCAGACACCACACAGCAAGCTGCAATCTTTGGGTTGGCCCAAGGCAATGTGTTTTATGCTTCTTAAGGAAAAGATCAAGAAGGGAAAGACTCCACTTGAGGTTTCAGTTTGCTTAAGAATTCAATTACAGTGCATGCTTGAAGAACTAGAGATTGCTGGGTTGGGGGAATGTGGGCTAGGGAGTTGGAAATGACTGGATAGTTGAAGAGAAACTTCTGGGGGAGTTGGTGCTGTGCTTTTCTTTGATTTGGATGCTGATTAGTTTGTGAAAAATACATCAAGTTGTAAATATATGAGGTAGGCACTGTTCTCTGTATTATAGGTTTTAAAAAAAGTTTTAAAACCCCCAAACTATAAAGCATAAATGTTGTGCTATAATTCTAAATTTTTGACATGCTTCAATGTCATTTATGATAGAAAATGTTTTCCAAGTAGGTTAATATAGCATAAAACTTTATATATATTATACCAGGTAGAAAAAGCATATATTTTAAAATCTCACGTTCAAGGTGTTTTTTGTTTTTTGTTTTTGTTTTTTTAAGGACAGAAAAAGTTAACATGTAAGTTCATGTTTTAGCTACACTAGAAATCACTGAGGCGGTAGTGCTTTCCAAGCCTTGCTCTAATCACTCATGGCCTGGGTATGACACCCAATTAACGTAAAGTCTGTGAAATGGAAAAATAAAATATTAATAACATGTACTTCAGAGGGTTTGTGTAAAACTAAAAAGATTATATACAGAGAAGAATAACATATGAGCAAATACATATGCCTGTATACGTGATTTTGTAAGGGCCCTACATGTAAGACAGAATTCCTTGTATGTATTGAAGACTGTCAAAAAAGAAAATGTTTGGACATTTTTTGCCATAATGCCTCAGATCTTGTAGAATATAGTACATTCAAAGTGTCCACTTATTTGTTCTACTTCTACCTCTTCTAGACATCCTCTCATTCTAAGTCAGGAGCTCAGTAGCTAGGACAGGTGAGGGAAGAAGGCGTGCCTGTCAGAAAGAGTGAAGGAACTTGGGTTGGGGAGCCTCAACTCAGTTTCATGCCAGGGTTGCCCCAGAGCACAATGCTCCCAGACTCTCAGGTTTTTCATGATAAGTTGGAGAAGCATATTTTTAAATGTAAAACCTCCTGATATTTCAGTGTTGGCAACCAATTTGATTTTTTTAAAAAATCAATATACCAAATAAGTCTGTAGGTCCAATCGCATCTATGCGCTGCCAGTTGAGACCTCCAAATTCTTGCCTGATATCGACACTACTGTATAATCTCTACACGCTTCCATCTTTCTGGGCACCACTCCCTTACTTCATTCCTAGTTCTGTATTTTCACCACTGACTACATTTCGTTTTGAATCTGATAGGCAGGCCTACACAAACAAATATAATGCTCAAAGTACAGAAAATCTTGCTGGCAGGCATTTTTATTCCCATTTGCAGATTTATTCTCTACTATTTTCCCTCCTCTTTCTCTTTAGAAAATTTATTTCCTTGTTCTCCATAAACAAATCATGATCCATGACCAAATTTTATGTGCTAACTATTTGTATCTATTTTTATAACATTACAAAACAGATGGAAATCTGTTGTTCAGTGACAGTGCTAACACCTGAATTTTAGGCCAGCCCCATGTGATCAGCCTTTCATTATGCTTTATATACAGAGAATAATAACATGAGCAAATACATATGCCTGTATAAATGATTTTGTAAGGGCCCTACATGTACGATAGAATTCCTTGTATGTACTGAAGACTTAAAAAAGAGGCATTATTGACCCATGTATGGTATGTACCAGTAGAGTTTCACTCTACTTCATAACTAAGGGTTATCATTATTGTAATCCACTTTATTCCCACATATCTATTTCTATCAGTCAATTTATTTTTTGTCATGTTGCATTTAATCAAAAGTCAGATTCACAGGACTAAACTCATGAACATCAGTCAGTGATTTGAAGATTCATGAGTGCAGCTCTGCACCTGTGCTGGTGTGATCAGAGAGGATAATTGGAGTGACACAGGTTATCACTTGCTGAGTGCCCATAACATGTTTCACACATTAAGTAACAATTATCAAAAGACTCCTACTTTATTAAAAGAAGAAAAAAGACTCAGAAATGTAACAAATAAAAACCACAATTTTTCCACATAGTTAATCAATAGAGGACTGGGATTTAAATTCAAGTCTACCATATTCTATAGCCCACGCTCACTCCCAAACCTGCCCAAAATAATTTGGAGATCATAATGGCTGCTCCCATAGTTCCCCCCCCACTGATGTTTAAAGCACTGCAGACTCTTCTTTTGGTTCATAAGTTCATATCAGTAACATGCTCCTCTTACATATATATATGTATATATATACATATATATATATAATTTTTATTTGAGGTATATATATATATTCCTAAAGTACCCAAGTCTCTGGAATATATATCTTCCTTTCTAAAGTGGGAAGTATGCCAGTGGTGTTCTATGTATTTAATTTTCAAAGTTTGGTTCTGATTCTATTCCTCTGCAAAGAAGACTTCCTGGAGTTCATTCTTTCCTGGCAATGCAAGTTCTGCTCCTGGCCCTCTACTAGCCACCTCCCAGAAGCCCTCTCTGGCAGCCACTACTCCTTCCTTGCTGAAATCCCTTCCTTGGCTTGAGCGGCACCTCTCTTTCTTTCCTAGTAAGTGTCCCCTCACACATCCTTCTTAAGACTTCACTTTCTCAACCTCCCCTTTACCTACTAATGTTTCTCTGTATTGTCTTTAGTACTCTCCTCTCTT